TTTTTGTTTTGTTGTTGAGATGAGACACAAGCGCGCCTTCGCCCCTTGTGCTCACTCTCATCTAGCACCCATCAAAGCCTGACCAGGGAATCAGTTGATAAGAACATCTATCTACATTTCTCTTTTTAAAGCTCGCTCGGGCTNCCGATTTCACAGCAGTGTAGACCAACCTCTGTGATAGAGCGGTGACAGCAGTGTAACCTCTGTGGTAGACTACAAAGTCTACGAGCTACAGCAGCACCGCCACCTCCGCTGCTGCAGGACGCCACATTTTGTGAGAGGATTCATTCATACCATGCCTAGAAGCGTTTTACCTGCGAAGTGGGCATGAAACCTGCACGTTTGATCTATGCGAAAGTTTGTTTTGTCTTGGTAGGATTCGTAGTCGGATGAATGTAATCAGACGCAGAACGAAGAAGGCGATTTTCTACGAATTGATCCGTGTTTGGAAAGTAAATGAAGAGGAGTTCCACAGATAGGCTTGGTTCAATGGATTGTTTAATGCTTTGAGATGTGAGACGACATAATATGTACTTTGCGGGTGTCGTTGCGGCGAAGTGCTGAGAAAGGATGGACCAGAACAAGAAACAACATATTCGCCTGATTGAGAGCGTAGCATCTGATTGAGAGCGAGATTGCGCGATACGCTNGGGTAGCGGCTTGAAGCTACGGGCTAGCCCTTCAATTCAAGCTACACAGCAAGCTCCACCTCTCAGTGGTAGTCCGGCTACAGCGTATCGCGCAATCTCGCTCTCAATCAGATGCTACGCTCTCAATCAGGCGAATATGTTGTTAAGAGCGTTTTGCAGAGAAGGAATGAAGGCGATGAGACAAGACGGTGTGGGTGGGTTCAGGAACATTTGCATAATCGAGTTCTTGGTTTTTGTTTGTCATGGAGAAGTAGGATCCACGTTTTGGGTCGTAAATGGAATAATATTGACTTGCTTGCCGTATCACCTTTACGATGCATACGAGCAGGGGGGCTGTTAGATATACTCGTAGCATAGTACAGAGGGTTGAATATGGGACATGGATCTACGGAGATTGCAATTGGTAGATTGCGGAGGACCAGGGAGTTTCTACTTGGTTTAGGGCCGTTTTAAACGGACCGACTTTTTTGTCAAAATTTTCGACATTTGTCTTTCAAAAACTTGGAACCTGTGTGCAGTCATTTTAAACGTGTGACGTGGACTTGTGCAACTTGTGTAAAANGGCGCTGCCGCCACCAACACTCAGAGCGAGGATGGAGCAGGCCGCCGGCTAGGGGTAGCAACCACTGCTCCTACCCCCCCGGGAAAAGGAAAAAANATGACTCACACACAACCCTAGCTGACTTTCTACGGTGAGGGGCACTCGTGGTGCAGACGCAGCAGCCCTCGCGTGCCTCTGCAAGGGTACTTTGGAAAGTGCTCCAAATACTTTGAGAGGGTTGTCAAAAAGTTGGAACGAAGTGGAGCAAAGTTTTCGCGCCCAACTTCGTTCCAAATATTTTCGAAAAAAATGGACAAACGCCTACATACAGGTTCCATTTTTTTGACACTTTCAAAAAATTTGACAAAAAGTCGGTCCGTTTAAAACGGCCCTTACTCGGAGATTCGATGAGTGATCTGAATTGCGTGACGGATGAGTATTCTGCTTTTCTCTTCGGGTCCTCAGACACAAGTGTTCTCTGCTGTGCCCTCTCCCTCCCAATACAAGACTTTCTCATCTCGGCCCTAACTGCCCGAGCTGCCTTTCTCCACAAACCTTCAAGCTTCGGCCTACCCGGTTTACGCAACATCCCACAAGATCTGGTACGTGACCGGCACCGACAAGCCAAACATGAGGGTGACATCCCAGTAACTGGCGCCAGCCAGGATCCTCAACGCCACGGCAACGCGAACTTCCACAGCTATGGCGCCGTTGCGTGGCGATCGCGGTGCTGTGGGGTCTCCGAGCGACGCANCCGAGCTGCCTTTCTCCACAAACCTTCAAGCTTCGGCCTACCCGGTTTACGCAACATCCCACAAGATCTGGTACGTGACCGGCACCGACAAGCCAAACATGAGGGTGACATCCCAGTAACTGGCGCCAGCCAGGATCCTCAACGCCACGGCAACGCGAACTTCCACAGCTATGGCGCCGTTGCGTGGCGATCGCGGTGCTGTGGGGTCTCCGAGCGACGCACAGATAATTTTTGCAGGTCACACGAGTGTCAGAGGGGGCATGTTTGCAATCGCCAGCATCTAATTAGCAACCTATGACAGGGGAAGCATTTTCTCGACAAACTCGTCAGATTGCCGGCCCAGTCCACCTCCGGACTACGGTACCGAGACGGCTCTGTTTTTATCACTTACACACACACAATATCTTGCGCATGAGGAGCAGTGTCGAATGCCGTTGTGTCATTGCGGGATACTACAATCTGCATTGGCTCCCGACAAGGCATGGATTTTGTTTTAGTTGTGCCGGTGTGTATTGTGATCAACTATTATTACTGCTGTACGGTAGTCAGCGTCCCAAATAGTACCTCAGCGTTGTTCTCATACAATGACTGCTGCCGTACAATATGCATACTAGACTACAGCAGTACTGCTGTAGATATGCTGCGGCAATGCTGTATGTTCCTGCGTGGTGCCTCTACTTCAACGAGCGAGTTATTATTTTTGAAAAAGACAGCAAGAGCATACAGCAGTACAGTATTCTACAGCTGAATATGGTTTCTCCCCTGGTTTTGAGTTGCTCGTCCCCGGTTCTACATAGACTATATGAACACCAGAGGGAGCCTTAAGCATACGTGCCGTGGGCGCTGCATCTACACATCAACGCTCACCGCCGAAGTAGGCGTTGATTTTCAGGGAAGGGCGGTGTAGCTCTACGAGCTTGTGGAAACTGCCTTTCTCCATGCGGTACGACCGCCGTCAGCCGTGCCATTGATCGAGGTCCGCCTCGTGTTGGGCCCACGGAAGTCGCTTGGGCTCGTAGATGGGCTGCCGTTCCTGAGGGCAGTGGGCACGATGAGCTTCTCCTGCTGCCACGACGCCCGCCGCCACTGCTACGGCCCTCAGAGGACCCAGGACCGTTAATCTCTTGTCTTTCTGGGATGCATTCTCCTCGTCGACAGCTCGTCGACGGCGCTTTCCCTGCGTTGCGCTGCGGGGTCCTTGGGATCCTGATGCTTCCCGCGCTCAGCCATGGTGGTCGACTTGCCGTGGGAAGCACTCTGGGGTGTTGTTGGCGCTGTCTAGGTGTGGTGTGATGAAGGCAGTACGCGTGACCGGTGTCTGCTTCGGCTGCCCGGGAAAAGCGGGGCGTTTTTTCCCCGGAACCGTGAAAGGAGCAAGCCCCGAAAAATCCCGGCTCCCTCTTTTTCACGTTTTCGGGGAAAAACACCTCCATATGTGTTCAAGAACAAACGGTTCCGTGACATGTTCCGTGGTTTTTTTGTCATTAATAAAGGCCCTTACCCATTGGCCTTCGTGCTCTGAAATTTTCGGCGCGGTGCGCCCTCGTGTTTAGGAGAACGTTGCAACGATTATGACACAACTTGCGAATCCAAGAAAGTTGCGCGAGGCCGCGGTACCTACTTGTGTGCCGACGTTTTCACTGCTTTGCAGGGGGGGGGTTCGATCCTTTCTCAGTCGTTGGGGGTCGGAAGCTATGCAGGGACGGAGTCGTGCCGAATTTGTTCTCCCTCTGTTTGCAGCCCGACTTGTAAACCCTCCCAGACCAAACATAGAGCTACACCTTTTGCTTGCGGAAGCGCTGATTGTCGTCGGCCCAGTCATTGTCAATGTTGCGGCCGACTCGGTTTTCCAGACGACAATTTTCAGCGTCGTCCACGATAGGTAGTGCCCGCAAGAGATTCACTATCCAACTCTCTGACCACCAATGCATCGTGAAGTGGGTGGGTAACCCGCTCTAGCCGAAGGTGGGACCGGACAACAAGCGGTGGTTACGGTTTGTTCGTGCGGAGGAAAGATGATAGCGGAGTTCCCCGGCTACCGTCGGCTGGTTAGTCTACTAAGGTCGGTAGCCAAACCAGAATTCAATATGGAGAGGCAGCAATGCACTCCGCCATAGCCGCGCGAGCCAGGCACGTCTGAAGGTCGCCCGTGTCATTTTGTACCACCCTCTCACTGCCATAAATGAAAAAAAAACTTGCCTCGCCTGGTACCTGCGACCCCAGGGTGCAAGACCAAACGAAACCACGGCACACCGTAACGAACGCCAGAACGAACACGTAGCACAGAGCTGCTCTCTTGCTGACAATTGTTTGCTGTAAAACTCACCTTCTCCCTTGTCCTAACAAGCTACCCACATGTACAACCAGCACGATTTCAATTACTACCTCACCATCCAGCAATTCGGGTATGTTTCTTTGATTCAACCAAGACACCCAACGCAAACGCGACCGAGGAACCCCACGTGACGTTCTATCAACAAATACAAACCTGTGTACACGGACATGTTTCGCGCATATTACTGACAACGACGCGATGCAATCTACATGTAGACCGCATCATCAACCCTTGAACAAGCAACTCACATCAAAGGCAACCACACGTAACCCTCACATCTACACACCGCTGAAGCGTACACAATTCTATATGTTGATGGACTGCGGGACCTTGTCGGGAAGCAGCGTCGTGTACCCGAAGTTGGCGGCGGCCTTTTTGCCCTTGCCTCTCTTGCGCCAGGAAGACGCAACGAAGGCATTCCTGTCAGGCATTGGTTTATGAAAGGGAACAAATGTTTCTCGCCATGAACAAACAATGACAAGGATACTATACCGTCGACAGCAAGCTGCCCTAAGCAACACTCACGGTATCTACAGTCACGAGCTTCGAATTCACACATCAATGAAGACAGGCGACCGGATTCGATGGCGCGAGGAGAGAGCTGAGAAATAACAGCCTACCGCCCAAAAACAAAAATGAGAAGAGACGCGATGAAAGATGGCGCAAAGCCCTACGTGGTTACAAGGTTACTCCCGCTACTGCTGAACGGCGAAAAAGAGTCGTCCCTTCTACCGGTTAAACTGAAATCCACACACCAACGCGCACGTTCCGGCAGCATTCAGAACAACACTTAGCTCCGAGTTTCCCCTGTATGAGCATGAAGTGAAAACTACAATACCTGGAAAAGCCAAGCTCGCCCATGATGATGTTCGTCCGGAACCGCTAGACATCAGTAAGCACATGCACGTTACTACCCTGGTTTTGGCGTGGGACCTCCTCCCCGCTGCTGTTTCTGTACGTACATTGCAGCGGCAGTGGAACGTTGCATTTCGTGTTCAGGCAACCCGACTTACTCGTTAATCATGTCGGTTTCGATGTCCTCGATGGCCTGCTGGAACTTAGTGAGGGGGGCTTGGACACGTTTGTCGCTGAACTGGTTCGCGTCGTAGTCGCCCAGCCTGAACATTTTGTTCCCCACAGGAGAAATGACAAGTCTGTGTGTCAGCCCGCGCTTCGCAGCTGAACCAACCCTCTCCAACGAGTTCTGGTGTTACGCTAAAACCCGCTGGAGTGCAAATAGAACACCACCGTCTTTGCCCCTCAGCTGATTGCGACTGTTAGCGGTAGGCTCGACATGAACGATGGTGACGCCACCCGAACATCATTATGTCGTAGTTGTACACGCGCACCCCGTGAAGCAGCAATAACCATGGGATATGAAAAATGACGAACAGTGCCACCAGAACCTGGTATATTTCGGGGTCCGGAACTGATCCACACTCCCACGGCGTGAGTATCGAAAATATTTCCAAACATCTAAATAGACGGACGGAGGACGCTAAGATCTTGAACCGAAAAACAGGCGGAAACTGTCCGACCACACATTAATCGAGCAGCACAACGGCCAGCAATATCGAGGCTGAGCCACGCATCATGGTGAGAAAAGGGCTGAAATGCAACCATGTTGTTCACGGTTCGCGTTGGCTTCGTTTTGGTTGGGGCTCACTTGGTGTGGAAGACAGTGCCGAGAATGTTGCCGGTCACGACCTGTTCCGCTGCAATCTCGAGGGGTGGGAGATAGGCCAGGTACTCTTCGAAGCTCCTCTTCGTCTGGAAGCAAGTCGTAATGGCCATCGTCACGTGGAACACGCGTAAGTCAGTCGTGCGGTAGATCTGTGCCTTCATATTTGATCGAGAAACCGATCCCAGTCCCCCCCCTGCGATGCCAATTCGAAGACGAAATACGGAGATTTTCCGCGAACGCTCACCTTATCAGTGGGGGGTTGCACGTAGATCGAAGGGGGGTTGCTGGGCACGAACGACATGATGGGCTGCTGAGGGAAGTTGACCGCGGCGTGCAGGACGCTCGCCGAGTAGATCAGACTCGCCAATACCTACGATATAGGTATAGGTCGGACAGAGAATCACAAGAGAATGACCTTAATAGCCGGATCGGAGCCACGAGAGGAGTTAGTAGTGGCCAGACACATGATTCAACCTCGTGCAAGAGGGTTCATGACTCCGTCCTGGGACAGGGTAGAATGGAACATGCGCACCCCCACATGGTGCCGGAAAACGGTACACCGTGAAACTTTATGGCCAGGGAAGGTCCTCTGCTGCCTTCATGCCGTCACCCGGCATGTGGCCAGGACAACCGCTTTCCCAGCGTTATCCTCTTGTGGCCCAGTTGATCCGCACCTCTCCTCGTTGCCACGTCCCTCCAAGCATGGCACGGTTTCCACTTGAAAAGGCATGCAATGACCAGGCGATCGCTTCTCGTCAGGAACATCAGGAACATGTTCTACAATAGTTCACCCCACCACTGCCAAACAGCCAACTGCTCTTGTAAACTTGAGGGTACTCACCATACATTCAAAGATGAACACAAGACAGTGGTGGGAAACAAACACAAAGAATGAGCGTAACCATCCTCACCGCAAAGCGCTCAACTCCATTTTGAACGGTTCGTCTCAAGGTAGATGCTCCCTTCTAGAAGAAAAGATCCGTGACTTGGGGCACTACTCCCGTACCAACCTAGGCCTGGCTTGTTACTTGCCTTCCGGAGCCACTCAGCGACAAAGTCAAGCCGCGTGGCAAGAGTGAACCGCTCTGACGAGTCGTAGTTGACCTGTGTACACTGCCAGGAATCACACTGTAGTCACTCTCGGCAGGGTGAGGTCGGGCTGTTGAATGAACGTGAAAAGAACGTTAACAACAACAACAACAACAACAACAACAACAACAACAACAACGAACCTTAGCGAGGAAGACTTTTTGGTCCGTGGAATTTTCCAATTCCGCAAGCCATTTCAGCTCTCCCACGGTAACGAGCTCCTTCACGAACGCCTGCAGGATGGCGGGGGTAGTCGGATGCCAATACACTCGACTGAGCCAACACGTTGACTGCCAATAGGTGGCGAACGGTAGTGTGGCCTTGGCCGAACGGGATCGCAAGCATGTCGATAGGAATTCATCTTGTGTCGCTCTTAGCTTTGCGTACCACGAAACAGGAGGGCGCCGACAACCCTCCAACCACTACGAATCGAACCAAGTGTAGTCGTACATCGACCAATGTATGGGTTCGAGCAATCATCACTGAATCTGGTCGGTTTCCTCTTGTGGCAGTCGTACCCTCCAAGCTCGCCCCCAAGACCCCATTACAAAACTGTTTTGACGACAGTCTCAGAGCGAACGAATGAAACGAGTGTAAAGGCTGCCGAGCTGGCTAACAACATAGCCGGACGAGTACGAAATGAAGGTAAAGTGTGGATGACAGGTGTAGAAGTGCTGTAACCATTCATTGTTGTTGCACATACAAAAGTAGGACCAAGATACGATCCTAACGGAGGATCTTACTGATGGTTGATCAGTAAGAGACCCGACTGTGGATGCATCCCTCTTGGCGCCACCTGTGGAGCTTGGGAATCCGAGACCCTCGGGCTTGGTCTCCCTCGCCCCTTCGGCGGCTCTCTCTCTCTTGTCTCTCTCTTCTGAGACCCTCTCCTCTCTAAATCTCGACGAAGAAAACTGCCAGCCCTTAGTAGTGGGAAAAGACTACTGCGACCTGGGCCTCCCCCCTCAACGAGGGAAGCCAATGTCCTCATTGGCGTCGACGAATTAAAAAATACTCTGCTGGTACTGGAGGTAGAGGTGAGAGATGCCGAAAAAATCAGCCGTGCAACGCCCTCGCGATAAGGCGGACGCGGCGGAGGAAAAGAGGCTCAAGGAGCAGCAACGCCGCCTTGAGCTGGAAGCTGAGCTAGAGCAGCTCAAGCAACGCCTCGCCGCCAAACACCCGACAACCCCGCTAGCACGTGGGACACCCTCGGAACGCGTGCCGGCTTCACGCCCCTCGGGTGATAGCAGCCTTCTTGAGGAAAAGTCGGATGACCCTGAGGGTGCCGACCTCGCGAGTGCCACCAGCGGCGGTGAAGATGGCGGTGATTCCGGTGAGCGCGACACGTTTGTTGAGGGCGAGAGTGGAGACGAGTATGAGGATGTTCCTCCTGCCGCCGGCCGGGAGCAGCAGGGGCGTTGGGCCGATGAGGAGGAACCAGAAGATGAGGAGCCCGAGGTTCTTACATATCCGGCTGTCGCACCCATTGTGGAGATGCTGAAACAGCACCACCGTGATGGGACCGAACCTCCCGAATGGCTCATGTCCATTGTACTGCCCGCCAACTCGCGAAAGGTGAATACTGTAGGTGGTAGCATGCCTGCTGTCCGACACGAACCCAACGTTGGTAGCGAGGGTAGTGCCCGCCCGAACCTCCGGCGTGACAACAGCATACCATCTAATTTTGCTTCACAGCAGTCACCTATCCCGTCTCGGCAATTAGTAAACGATCTTTCTCCGCAATCCGTAGAGACCCCACGAGAAATCGACAACACCAGCAGGACTAGCGACCCTCTAGTGATGCCGAATGCCTCACCTACACACTCTACTGTGCGCGCTGATGAACACCCGTCAGCGCACACTACGGGTACGTCTGCTCGTTTCGTCTTAAAACCCGCAGACCTACCCAAAGATCTTGTTTTCTCAGGGGCACCTGGGCAAGATATTGTAGAACTTTTGGCGCAATACCGTGCACGTGTGAAACTGAACTCAGTCGACAACTGCCCTGACCATGTAGTCGACCAACGTGCTGTGCGATACCTCCCGCTTCTTCTGCGAGGGGCTGCGTACGATACCCTGTTGCAGTTGACCCAGGGAACGCTCGAGTGGCGTAACGCAGAACAGTTAGCTGAGCTTCGTGCAAAGGGTGCAAGTACTCGGCCGGTGGCTCCTTCCTCCTGGGCCGAATACTGTCACGCCCTTTACTTTCAGTTCTCCGCTCCCAACCGCATTTCCATTTTGGCCCGACAATTTGCCACTTTGGAACAGGCAGTAGATCAGTCCGTGGATACCTATGCATTGAGAGTCACACAAGCACGCGCGCGCCTTATTGCGGAAGCTACTCGATCCGCCCCGCCGAATATCAGCCCACACGAACACGCATGGGATGTATTTACCACTGCAACGTTTGAGAACGGCTTAATCCCAAAAATCAGAGTGGAGACTGTTCGAGAAGACGCAACTATGAGTTTCCAAGAAGCTCGTTACCGTGCAAAGAAGCACGAGGCAAACAATCTAAAAGGCATTTCTCCCACAACCCTCGATATTGCACACGCTTCGGCTGTCTCACATGACCGGCCACAGCTGCGGTCCACGGTGGAGGCTCACACCTCCGAACTCCGGGAGTTGGCTGCTGAGGTCAAGCACCTCAAGTCGCGTGATGCCGCCACAAGCAGCCACCCCCGGGGACCGTCGCGGCGCGCTAGCAGTAAGACAACGCAACCAAAGCGCACCTCGGGGTCCACGCAGACGGACAAACCGAGAACTAAGCAAAAAAGGCACTGCGACTACCCCGGGTGTCCCAACCCCGACACACACGACACTGACTACTGTCACCTTCGCCAAAAGGAGAGGAAAGGTGGATGGGAGCGCCGACCTTTGACGGGATGATGGGGCCCTTCAAGGGACCCCTCGCCCGAAGGGAGCAGGACCACCGATGCAACAGTAGTTGAGAGGAGTGAGGTAGCGCGAGATGCCGTACTTTGCTCAACTAATGTTGCCATGAAGGGTGGAAAAACGAGGGATTGCATTTTGCATCGGGCACGAGAAGTGGATAGAACTTCAGGCCGAGTTTTTGATAGGAATAATTCTGTTACACGTAAGGAGGTTGTGGAATCGGTTGGTTCTCCTCTGGTAGCAGAAACACCTAGCAAGGCACCAAGCAAGGGACTATTTTTCAGTAGTGCAGGGAAACGTCGAAGAGGGAAAAAGACTAGTATCAGACCCTTAGCAGTAGCCCCGCAAGTACGACATGTTCCGCCTGGAGAGCCTTTGAATAAAGAAATTAAACCCTATGGGTTTTCGCGTGCGTTGCGTCGTGGTTCACGATTTGCAGCTTTTCACGCATCTGCGTTGAGTAAATATCCGAAATTTCCAACTGCATTGGATTCCACATCGAAACGGGTACATATTCCCGCTCGAGTGAACAACCACCCTGTGTCTGAAATCACAATCGACACAGCCGCTGATGTACCTTGTGTTTCAGCGAAATTTTTGCAGGAGCACCCCACACTAAAAAATAAAACGCTTTGTCCAGTTCCACCTGGAGCGATACAATTAAAAAGTGCTGACGGGTCACCTCTTGAAATTTTGGGATACCTACGGTTCAATCTCACACTAGGCGATATCACGTTGCCAGTAGAAGCATTGGTTTTACCGAACCTGGGTCCTGATAACATGTTGCTAGATAACAGCATCATGAATGCCTTTGGCGCCATTTTAGACTGGTGTGGTGAAGAATTATCTTTCAAGAATTCTGTGCTGAAAATACCCGCAACCCACCGTCGAACACGGGATCTAACACATCCACATGACAGTGCATCAGCACAAGTTTCCGTTGTGGCACTGGACCCGTCCGAAGGAGCCGTGCCAGTATATCTTTGTAGGAAGTACTGCGTTCCTCCGAAACATGAAATGGCGGTTGATGTCGTGACTAGCCACGCCCCAAAGGAGACTACTCCTGCAGTAGTTGAGCCACGAATTATCACTGCCGACGATATTGAATCATCTGATGATACCCCTCGAGCATTCCGTCACATCGTTGTCGCGCGAACAGTCTGTAACTGGTCTGCAATTGATAAGACAGCGATGGTCCAGATAGCTAACCCGTCTGATAGACATGTTCACCTGGATCGGGATACTATATTAGGGTATATTTCTCCAGTTAAGACGGTGTCTGAAAAAACGATTAGCGCCGTCAACGATGATCATCAGACTTTTAGGAAAAAGAGAGATGAATTGAACAAGGCGATGAAGAAAGCGTTTTCGGATACCACATTCTCGCCCCAACAATGCTCTCAAGTTCTCGATTTATGTGCCCGTTACAGGAATGTGTTTTCCCTATCGCCGAAAGAACTGGGGAAATGCACCTTGACCGAGGCAGAATTTCCGCTCGAGCCCGGTACAAAACCAGTTGATCGGGCACCGTACCGTGCAAACCCACGAGCACAAGAAGTGATCGATAAATGTACAGCACAAATGGAAGCTGATGATATCATTGAACAGCGACCGAGTTCTTGGGGATCGGCGGTTACTATTGTAGCAAAAGCCGACGGAACCCCTCGATTCTGTGTGGATTATCGCGGTACCATTAATAAGAGTTTAATCCGAAAGTCGTGGCCTATGCCCGATATTAATGCCCACATTGATACAGTAGGTGGAGCAAAGTTTATCACTGTGTGTGACGTGCAGAGCGCGTACCACCAGATACCCGTTGCAGCAGCGGAGCAAGAGAAGACCGCCTTTGTAACTCAAAAAGGAAAATGGGTTTTTAAACGTCTCCCTTTTGGAATTGCGAACGCCCCGTTTTTATTTGCTCGCATGATGTCATTAGCATTTGCACATTTTGGACCCCGAAGTGGCCTCCTTGTTTACATGGACGACATCATTTGCTGTAGTTCGACTTGGGAAAGTCATCTAACATTGTTAGAAAATACATTTCAAGCCCTTCAAGCCGCAGGGCTCACATTAAAACCTTCCAAGGTACAATTCGGGCCAAGGGAAGTAAAATATTTAGGTCACATTTTGTCTGCGAAAGGGATTCGAATCGGAGACGACCGCATTAAAGCTATTGTTGACCTGCCCGCTCCTAAAACGATCAAAGAACTCCGTTCAGTTTTAGGCATGATAAATTTTGTGAGGAAATTTCTCCCAGATTTGTCCACGGTGGTAGCGCCGTTGGTAGACCTCACTAAAAAAGAGCACGTAAAATCGATTGCAAAACGTTGGCGAAACGAACATGATGAGGCGGTTGCGACAGTCAAACGACTGCTCACGGAAGCACCTATTTTACATTTTCCCGATTTTACAAAAGACTTCGTCGTACACGTGGATGCCAGCGAAGCAGGTGCTGGAGCTTTCCTTGCGGAGCAAACAGGAGATGACCTNCACGTGGATGCCAGCGAAGCAGGTGCTGGAGCTTTCCTCGCGCAGCAAACAGGAGATGACCTCAACATTATTGCGTATTTCAGCCAACGATTCAACAATGCTCAGCGCCACTATTCCCCAACCATGAAAGAATGTTACGCCGTCGTACTAGCAATACAGCACTGGCGGCCCTATTTATGGGGCAGACATTTTGAAGTTGTGACGGACAATGCTGCGTTGAGATACATGTACACCATGCAGGACACTTTAAATATGCTGACTAGGTGGGCTATCGCTCTGCAGTCGTTAGACTTTACCGTGCGACACAAGCCGGGGAGGTTACACGTTGTTCCGGACACCTTATCTCGGTTGTTTGCTTTTGAGTACCAGCAACACTAAGAAGCCCCGAAACTAACACCGATTTGTAGGAATGTCCCCAAGGATCCTGCTTTGCATGTAGCCGTACCGAACAGACCTTATCAAGTGGCCGCAGACCGCCTGGAAAAATTGAAACCAGTGCAAAGTGATCGCGAATTGTTTACCATTAATTCGGTTTACATCAGCGCGACCCACGTTTTTGAAACAATGAATCGAGACATCTTGCGAAAAAAACAAGCAGCCGAGTATGGGAAATACATCGACTATCTTGTGGGGGAAAACGCACGAGTCCACGACAACGAAACAGCAACAACCATGTCCTATTATTTTGTACGAGACGGATTGTTGTTCAAATCGTATTTACCAGGTTACCTCAGGAAACGGAGTACTCTCACTGATTAATTAGTATTGCCGCAAGCTCTCACGGGCTTAGTTTTGCACGCTCACCATGATCACGTTTTGTCCGGAGGTCACCTAGCATCTAGACCGACTTCTGACAAGATCCGCCAGAAATATTGGTGGCCGAACATGAGTCGTGACGTTCGTACTTGGTGTCAGGAGTGCCAAGCATGCCAACGTCGGAAAACCGCGCACAATCGCACCAAATTGCCAACTGGACACGTACCAGTACAACGACCGTTCGAGCGAGTTTCAGTGGACTTAGTTGAATACAAGAGCGAATCGATGTCAGCCGCCGGCGTACGATGCAAATATGTCCTATCCATGATGATGGACCATCTAACCCGATTCACCGTGTTGATTCCGATTCCGAATAAATCAGCTGTCACAGTTAGTTGCTCAGGCTATCATCGACCGCATCATAGGCATTTTTGGACCGCCTGAGATGTTGCATTCTGATCAAGGGCCTGAATTTGAGAGTAGTGTGATCCACCAGTTACAGAGTATTCTGAACTACAAGAAAACCCGCACAACACCATATCGTCCGCAAGGGAATTCTGTATCGGAACGACTACATTCAACGATGCACGCAAAGCTTGCCATGCATAATTCAAGAAGCGTGATAACTGGGCATCGCTACTACCTTTCATACAACTGGCGCATAACACTTCTTTTAGTGCTACCATGCATGACACTCCATTCTTCCTCATGTTTGGCAAACAACCACGACCACCTGTCGATATCATTCTCGGCATTCCTCATGTAGGATCAACAGCCAATACCGAAGAACTTGCGAAAAAAGACACGCGGGAAAAATTACAAATTGCTTTCGAATTAGCGCGCCGAAACTTAACGGAACGTACAAAAAAGCAAGCGGCGAGTAATTCAAAACTTAGACCGATTCCCGTGTTTAAAACTGGCGAACAAGTACTGGT